TAATAATAATAATAATAATAATAATAATAATAATAATAATAATAATAATAATAATAATAATAATAATAATAATAATATAAGAATGGCAAAGAAAAAGAATAATTATGTTAATGTATAATCTGTATGTAAGAGAATAAATGACAGTAAAAATATAAAGCATAATATAGGTAAATAATATTTGGTCATAAGTAGCTAAGTTTAAATAAATAAAGAAATGTACATAAAAATGGATAACGAATAAGGAGGTTATGAATGAAAGATAGAAATGGAAAAACACTAACTGCAAAAAAACCGATTCGGAACTGCGGTATGATATACGATGGAACTTATTGTTCATATGTTGTTTTTAAGTTATGTGTTTGTTTTTGTTGATGTGCTTATGTGTTTAAAATAATCAAATAAATAAATAAATAAATAAATAAATAAATAAATAAATAAATAAATAAATAAATAAATAAATAAATAAATAAATAAATAAAAAATTGTTATGTAAAATTATTGTTTCACTTTTCTCTCATTTATTTACAAAGCTCTACTGGGCTATCTTTTAGTTTCTTAAAAATATGGAATAGATTATCATTTCTTTTCTTTCTTTAGACATCTTAATGCCACCCATCAAACAGAAGGCTCGCTTTAAAATTAAAGATGCCAAGTGTCACTTAAGGCCTCGCAACAAAGAGAAAATTAAGGAAGTTGGAAAGCAGCAAACTCTTCTAGGTACAAGAGACTAATCATTAATCTTAATTTTTTTTTTTAAAGCCTAGTGAAACACTGCATTTTTTTCTCAATTTGCTGTAAATTAACGTTTGCGGTTTTGCTTAATTCTGTTTTACAAGTTGTAGGAACTGCCCTAATTGTTTTCTTTTAATTCGATTGCTAGTGATACAGTAATAGGAATATATTACAGGTAGTCCTCAACTTACAATATTTGTTTAGCGACCATTCCAAGTTTTAACAGCATTGAAAAAAAGGGACATTTTTCTGGTCCAGTCAACTGTCTTGTTTTGTACATGGCACAAAAGAAATTCCAAGGGCATTGTTTTTCCAAGCGTATAACTTTACTGTCAATTCCACATTGGCACAGAAAATGCAAAAGCCAGTTCTGAAGTTTTTGCTCAAAAAAGCAGCTTAGTAAAGTCCCCTTTTTCCCGCCAATTGGGCCACCCATTATCCACCAATCATATACAATCAGTTTGTTTTGAGAACAATCTGCACCTTTTGGAGGTTTCCCAGCATTTGACCTTGAGGTGTTAGAAATTCTTTCAGGACATAGACGTTGCTCTGAATTCCTCAGTTCCCTCCCAGCTCTCTATACATTCCAATTACTCCCTTCCACCCTTCCTATTTTCTGTTGTCTGGTTGAAAGCAGAGGTGTATGAGAAGTCCACCATGACAGGTCCTCACACCTATGACCCCTGAAGCATCCCCATAATCCCATTATCAGAATTCGGACACTTGGCAAGTAGTATATTTAGAATGGTTGCAGTGTCCCAGGCAGGGGTGGGATTGAAAAATTTTAGCAACCGCTTCTCTGCCCAATTGCTGGGTGGGCATAGCCATGTTGGGTGTGGCCTACTCAGCCTCCTGCACCAGGGCGGGGGAGGGCGTTTTCACCCTCTCCAGGCTCCAGAGGTTTTAGGCGAGCCTCCGGGAGGGTGAAAATGACCTCCCCTGGGCTCGGGAGGCCCCTTCAGAGGCTGGAAATAGGCTCATTTCTGGACTTCCAGAACTTCCAGGATGCCCATTTTTTGCCCTCCCAGAGCCTCCACCCAGGCTTTGCACTTACTTGGCATCCAAAACGGGATGCGTGGAGATTCCTCGGAGGGGCGGAGCAAGGTGGATGAAGTCAGCTAGTCCTTGCAACTACTGGTTCGGCGAACCAGATGTAAGACCGGTCCGAACCAGCTGAATCCCAACCCTGGTCCCAGGGTCTTTTGATTGCCACGGGTGACCTCCCTGGATGGCTTCTGACAAGTGTAGTCAGTGGAGGAAACCAGATTAGCTTAAAAACTGTGTGATTCACTTAACTGCAGTGATTCACTTAATAACCATGGCCAAAAGAGGTCATAAAATTGGGCTCAACTTGCAACCACTTTGCTTAACAACAAAAATTCTGGTCCCAATTGTGGATATAAGTCAAGGGCTCTCTGTGCATAATCCAAAAGGGCTCAGTTAACCAACTGAGGCCTGTGTTTCAATTCTGAAGGGGGGAAAAGTTCAAACTCTGCAAAGAAAAAGGGTAATGAAATTGAGGGAGTGGGAAATGAATGAAAGGGAAGAAAATTAAGTGGATTGTTCATATATCAGGGCTACAATTTTGAAAACCCTTTTTTTCCTGGTGTCAAATAAATGGGTAGCTCAGTCTAATTAAACCATGTGTTAGTATCTCTTGATATTACTAAAGGAACCATTAGGACATTAATCGGGGATGGGCTACAACGGTACAGTTTTCTTAAAGTAACTGACACCTTTCAATAAATGGTTTTGGAGGGTTTCCCTAACCCTGATTGATAAAACATTAATAGTGTATGAAGATATTTTTAATATACCAACCATACTAAAGCTAATGCAGCCGATGCCACTGAAATAACGCTACTACACAGCTTAATTTTTGTTGTTTCTGTTGTGCAAAGGAGGTCAGTTCCCCTGTGCAGACAATTGCCACATAACTTTTGTAAATCTCAAATGTGATTCCTCTAAGAAAAAACGCCGTGGGCGAAAATCCCCATCAAAAGAAGTATCCCATATCACGGCTGAGTTTGAAATGGAGATGAAGTCTGAAGAAGTCTCAGGTTAGTGAAATATGTTTGTGTTATTCCTTTCAGCCAATTTTAATGCTTAGAACTAATGCCACCTTCATGCATTTATAAAGACTTATTTACATTCCATTGGGCAGTCCAAAAATTCTTCAGCATCCATATTATTAGATATTGATTAATCAGCATGATATATTTATTAATACGAGGGGTACACATACAATAGTGATGACAAATATTCCACAAATGTATGGCTTGTTCCCCAGAAGCTCTTCCAATGGATTTCTTTGATACTACTTGATGTGATCCCCCAAATGTAGCTTTTCTTAATTCCCACTATTCATTTTTTGGAGGGGAAATCAAAACTCCATACTGAAGTCAAGGTTAAACCTGACTCATATTCCTAGAAGTTTCTGCTACTGGGAATCTGTCTGTAGAAATAATTATCTGATTTGGTTTTGATAATAGTGGAATGCATGCATGCATGTATATAGTATGTATGTATCAGGGGTGGGTTCCTGCCAGTTCTAACCTCTTCTATAGAAGAGGTTCCACAAATCTACAGTGCCATTTAGAACCGGTTCCAGCTCCCTCCCCCCACCCATCCGCCCATCATCAAGATGAAGAGCGAGAGGAGGAATTCTGGGAGTTGAAGTCCACAAGTCTTAAAGCTGTCAAGTTTGAACACCCCTGGGGTTTTTTNACACATACACATACACATACACATACACACATACATATTTTATTTCATATATCTTTTCTATCCATTCTCTATATAGCAACCTTTATATACATTTAAATCATCTTATATCCATTTCCTACTATTTATTATCTACAGTCTATTTTGTATTTCTACCTTTTTATTCATTTTCCGGTTTTGTAATTGTTTTTTAATTTTGTGACCTTTCTTCTTTTCTTTATTGCTTTCCTACTTTTTTCCCCTCTTCCCTGTAAGTCAATTATACCATAAGTCCCATATTGAGTAATATTCAGAGTCTTCTTTATCTTTTAATTCCTTCGTAAGCCTATCCATCTCGGCACATGCCAGTATTTTTTTATTACATTTTCTTCTGTTGGTATGTATTTATTTTTCCAATTCTGTGTGCAGTTGTGTGTGCACTTATCTTTCATTCTGGCTACATAAATATATCTTAGAAACTTCTTTGAGAGGAATCCCATGAATTAGAACCAGGGGTGTCAAACTGGCGGCCCGTGGACTGGATGCATCACAAAGAGGCCACGCCCGCCCCAGCTCTGTGAAGTCAAAAAACATTGTGATATGTCACGTGACATCAACGTGATGCAGCGAGTTTGATACTCGTGAACTAGACCATTGGTTTTTTTTAAAAAAAATTACATTTTGGGTTATGCTCATAGGACATATTCAATGTGTTTCAGCCTGGCTCACCTGCTTGCTCTGCTACCCCCCTTTGGAAGTAAAGTGAACTTGATTGTAAGATCCATCCTTCAGTCATCTGAATTAGTCACTTCCTTCCTGCTTTTTTCTTCCTCAGAGATGGTGAAATGTTTGCCTGGTGCCAATCCAGTTCCCAAAGCTCAGTTGCTCTGTAGCAAATCAGGAGGAATTGAGAACTGTTTCTTATTCTGCCCTTCCAACACCCTTTTCGTTCCAGGTGGGTATCTAAAAGCATTTTTCCCCTGGTCCATAAAATAAGTTACGCAGAGGTGTTTGCAAGGTATAGCAATAGCACTCAAGACTTATATACCACTTTGCAGTGCTTTACAGCCCTCTCTAAGCACTTTACAGAATCAGCCTATTGCCCCCAACAATCTGGGTTCTCATTTTACCCACCTTGGAAGGAAGGAAGTCTGAATCAACCCCTGTTGCAGAAATCATAGACAAAAGCATCCCAAGTAGTAGCTGGTAGCAACCTATACTAGGGCTGTCTTTGAATGCATGTGTAAAATGCTCTGGCAAAGCACTTGACTTTAGCCCAATCCTGGGAAAGAAGTTTCTTCATAGGCTGAAATAAAATCCCTGCTCTTAATTTGCTTTATAGCCTGTGAAGAAAAACAGCATCATTGGCAGGGCAGGGAAGTGTGTGTCTGTCCTTGTGTGTGTGTGTGTGTGTGTGTGTGTTTGTGTGTGTGTGTGTGTGTGTGTGTGTGTGTATATATATAAATGTGTGTGTGTGTGTGTGTGTGTGAGAGAGAGAGAGAGAGAGAGAGAGAGAGAGAGGGAGGGAGGGAGAGAGAGAGGGAGAGAGAGAGCTTCATCCTATCCCAAATTTACATATAACTGACTCATTTCTTTGTGATTATCTTGGTCAACTAAACATGGGACAAAACTGATTGGGCACATCTGGATGACAAACCAGCTTTGTACCCAACTACTTTAATTAACTTGAATAGATTTTAACAATATTTTTTTATAAATCAGTGGAAGGATAAGAATATACTGAGGTATATATTTCTCTTTTCATTTTTGTTCAGACTCGGAAAATAGCTATTCAGTAAGCTGTGGAGTGCCAGTACAACAGAGCAAGTCACAGCAAAAACGCAACAGTACACTTCCAGGTTGTACGGGTAAGAACACACACTGCAATTTGTTGACGTATTTACTTTAACACCTGCATCCTAATAATTTTGGTGAGTGAACCTGTTCTGTCTCCCGGATATGTGATTTTAAAGGGAAGCTTCTTTAAGGAAATATAAAGTAATATACCTATGTAGTACTTCAAATCTGAAGAGGAAGGAAAATGCTCTAGAGCAGGGGTGTCAAACTCCCATCGTCACAGTGGTGTCACATGACGTATCGGGCAGGGATGGGCTGCTGCCGGCATTACTGCTGGTTCGGTGCACACGCAAATTGTGCGTGTGTGTGCATTTGCACATAAATAAGTCTGCGCATGCGAAAACGTTAATAAAAAAAATTGTGCAATGAAAATTGTTCTGTACATGAGCAGAACCTAAAATCAAGATGGCGTTGCCATAGGAGAAGCGGTTCGGAGGTGTGGCAGGCCTGGGTCACTGCTGGTTCCCCTGAAAAACCACTAACCAGTTTGGCCAAACTGGTCCAAACCAGTAGGAACCCACCACTGGTATCGGGACTATTTTCCCCTTCACTAAACTGGCGTGGATACGGCCAGTGTTTGAAGNCGCACTCTGACAATGTTTTGGGCATTCTGTTTAGAAATAGAGATTAAATTATTATTAGCATCAGGCTATCTTTCAATGCACCTGACATTTGGGGGAGTTGAAGGTGATACAGATAGTTAGCCAGTGATACAAGTCTGGTTGGGATGACTAGCACAGGTGAGTAAAACCAGGGTTATCTTCTTCTTTTTTTCCTCGCTACATTTACGGAAAGTCATCTAAAGATAAGCACATTTAAGGATAATGAGAAAAAAAATGCAAAGAAATCATTTCCTCCTATTTTCTTCAACCTGAGAGTCACAAAACAGAGATTTGGAGGCTATGAGTCACTACCATCCTTAGGTTGCTTGTCCATGGCTTCATCTATTTTTATAAATTTCAAATCAGAATCAAAGGTTTCTTTTTCATATTCTCAAATGGCACTTTCTTTGCTCAGAACATTTCAGTGCAAATTGAAAAGTACCTCCCAATGTGATTATGGACTCTTTCCCAAAGGGAAACTGCGCATAGTAATATATCCAAATTATCTATTGCTTTAAGTACCTCAAGAATGAGAATGAGTGTGAAACATTTGGAGTACTTAGAAAAAGAACATTGTATACAACTATAAGCAGTGTGAATTTTCAAAAGTGTAACTTATTAGGGAGGGCTATTTAAATAAATTCAATGAAACTGAAATCCCAGATTGCAAAGTTAATTTCCGGTGTGATACGAGATAGAGATTCAGTGGTGACTCTCTGTGGTCAAAATGAACACTACAGCTGAATATTACATTTCAACTCATATTTTAAACACCAGTGTGGTCTTCTTTCTATTTCTACCAGCAGCTGCCTTAAGTGACGTTTTAATGGGAATAATTTCTGGGAAAGAAAATACAAAAATGTATGCCATTGATTGCATGTGGACAATGTGTTCCACAAGGAAGACACATAGAAAATCAATGCTTGTATGTTTTGTTCATAGCTTGACAGCTGTTAACCATGATTTATGACAGGCTATTAAGAAACATGGATATTTCCAATATGTCTGTTGGTTAAATTTACAATTTCTTACACTACTTTCTCTTTCCCTTCTTTCAAATCAAGATATAGACGAATGTTCATTTGAAAGGACCTGTGACCATACCTGCATCAACTATCCTGGAAGTTTTGAATGCTTATGTCACAAGGGTTACACGTTATATGGAATGACACATTGTGGAGGTTGGGAGATTGACTCTTTTTTATTCTTTTTGTATGATTTTTTTTAAATAAAGCAGTGTTGACAAAATTGCATTAACAACAGAGCAGATTTTGAAGTAGGCAAAGAATCTTAAAAACACAACAGATTTTATTTATTTGCTAGGGCCATTTATTTAATACTTAAATGTATAGACCTCTCAACTTAAACCGCACTCCTCTTCTGTAGGAGTTATTGGATTGCACCTCCAACTCCAAAAACATGCTGGAAAAGCCAAAAGTCTTCAGTTTTCATGTGTTTTTTTAAACTCAGGAGGGTAACACCCAGCCTGATTTCCAGGATGACAGTATTCCAGAAGGAGAGAGCAACTGAAAAGGCCTCATCTGTGACTCTGTAGAAGACATTCCCTCTCTGTAGAGAATTACAATATAAAGAGTTTAATTCTTTAGGAGGACATATGATCTAAAGTAGTTCCAAACTAGTCTAAATTGCCATAGAGAAAACTTGTAAATATTAATTAAATCAGGGATCCTCAACCCTCAGTCCATGGACTGGTACTGGTCCATGGCATACCAAAAACTGGGCTGCGCAAACGAGCAAAGCCCCATTCATGGGATGCAGGCATGGGAAACCACACCCCCTCTGGTCCCTCTCTCCAAGGAACCCGTCCCTGATTCTTGTTAGGTAAGCTCCCCGTTGGGAGAGCGAGTATGTTCAGAAAAGCGTTGTTAGAGTTGTGTTGGAGAACACACAAACCAGCATACAGAGACACTGCAGTTTAAATAGGTTTTACTTTCATGGAAATAGAGGTATCAGAGTCCATCAAACAGTCCAAGTCATACACGGATAAGACAGTCAGTCATCAATGTCTTTCAGTTAAGGGATAATCCAAATAACATAGTCCAGTAGCATATAAACAGTTCAGAACTCAAAGTTTGCTAGCAGTTGCAAAACTTACAATAGCTCACGGCACTTTTCTAACAGCCAGCTTCCAAAACACTCAGATCAGATCAGCCCAGCATCTAACGAACAGAGAGAGAGCTAACAGTCATTCTGGCTTCCTCTTATGGCCGATTGAGGAAAACAGCAACCAATCACATTTTACAGCATGATTTAAAGAAACAGGTATAACATTGTTACATGATTTATATATTGCCAGCCCAACTGTTAGAATTATATTCCTAACAATCCCCAAAAGGTTGGGGGCTGCTGAACTGAATGATGAAATAGTTATTGACAAGGCTGAGGATAGCATAGCATGGGAGCCATATGTAAAGAAATAATGACGACTATTCAACTGAACTGTAGCTAGCCATTTGTTTTGCTGAAGTGAACGTCTCCAAATTATCTTTGCAATTTTCTTGACAACGATATAGAAGTGCTTGGCTATCTTCTATGGCAGTGATGGCGAACCCATGGCAGGTGTGCCAGAGGTGACATGCAGAGCGCTCTCTCTGAGCATGTGTGCCGTCGCCAGCTGCTCTTCCAGTTTTGGCGCTCCCACGTGCTGGGCAGCTGCTCTTCTGGTTTCCGGCACTCGGTGCCAAAAAGGTTCACCAACACTGTTTTATGGTGAGAGTTTTGAGGTGTTTTTAGTCTGACGTTGCTCAGACTTGGCACTTTTGAAGATAGGTGGACTTCAACTCCCAGAATTCCCCAACCAGCATGCTGTTCTGGGAGTTGACATCGATACATTTTCAAGCTGCCAAAATTGAGAAACGCCGGTATAGTCTACACTCTTTCCATAATTTCCAGGTTGTTTGCTACCCAAATACTAATTGTGCAGATTGTGATTGGTTGTTTTTTTTTAGAAACAGTGGACATTGATATGAAATATTGCATTTAGTATTATTAAATATTTAAAAAAATGTAGTACTTCTTAAATATTGTAAAGCGAATGAAAACAAACCCTTACAAGGCAATGCTATTTAATTTAAATATATTTTCAGATGTAGATGAATGTAGCATCAACCATGGAAGCTGTGATTATGGATGTCTTAATACTGTGGGAACTTACGAATGTTTATGTCCACCTGGACGAAAATTACATTGGAATAAAAAAGATTGTGTTGGTAAGTAACACTATGGAATAGACATTTTCTACTTTTTCACTTTTTGTATTAATGGATGGTTATAAACTGAATGTTTAAGTAAATAAAAATTATTTTTCAAGCCTAATACTGTACCCATTCAATATTTATTGTATATTGTGAGAGTGACTTCCTTCTCTTTCTTTTGTTGCACAAATTCTTCCTTCCCTTTCATTTAATTCTTAATCATGTTTCCTTTTCTTCAAAGGAGGTAAAAGTAACTGATTTCAGTTTTATTTCTTATTTATTGATTTTTATATACCTTGTTTCCCCAAAAATAAGACCTCCCCGGATAATAAGCCCAATCGGGCTCTTGAGCGCATGCACTAAAATAAGCCCTCTCCCAAAAATAAGCCCTCCCCAAAAATATTTAAACATATGTGTAGCTGGTCCATGCCATTTCCTCTGGTTGCTTGTCACACAAACAACACAAGGTGAGGTGGTAAGGCCAGAGGCTATTCCACTCCACTCCACTCCATTCCATTCTATTCTCTATTCTATATAGGAAATTGAAGCAATCTAACTCATAGGTGAAAAGAATGAGGTATACTGGAGTATGCTTCTTCAGGAAAAGCTGCGACTTGTAGCAGTGTCAATGTGCACTTATCTTTCTTTCTTTTTTAACTTTTTATTTTGTTTATACAAACATAACATCCTTGCAACACATTACACTTCTTTTACATATCTATTGTGATTCCTTTATCTGTATATGTAAATCTTTATTACAACGCATACGACGTCTGCGCGATGCTCCGCGGAGCAGTTGGAACATCGTGGACGCTTAAGGAAGCATCATTTGATGCTAGAACGCGTGTGCGCTGCACGCCTGCATGTGAGTAACTCCAGAGCCCACCACTGATATCCGGAACCCACCACTATACATACATACATACATACATACATACATACATACATACATACATACATACACACATACACATACACATACACATACACATACACATACACACATACATATTTTATTTCATATATCTTTTCTATCCATTCTCTATATAGCAACCTTTATATACATTTAAATCATCTTATATCCATTTCCTACTATTTATTATCTACAGTCTATTTTGTATTTCTACCTTTTTATTCATTTTCCGGTTTTGTAATTGTTTTTTAATTTTGTGACCTTTCTTCTTTTCTTTATTGCTTTCCTACTTTTTTCCCCTCTTCCCTGTAAGTCAATTATACCATAAGTCCCATATTGAGTAATATTCAGAGTCTTCTTTATCTTTTAATTCCTTCGTAAGCCTATCCATCTCGGCACATGCCAGTATTTTTTTATTACATTTTCTTCTGTTGGTATGTATTTATTTTTCCAATTCTGTGTGCAGTTGTGTGTGCACTTATCTTTCATTCTGGCTACATAAATATATCTTAGAAACTTCTTTGAGAGGAATCCCATGAATTAGAACCAGGGGTGTCAAACTGGCGGCCCGTGGACTGGATGCATCACAAAGAGGCCACGCCCGCCCCAGCTCTGTGAAGTCAAAAAACATTGTGATATGTCACGTGACATCAACGTGATGCAGCGAGTTTGATACTCGTGAACTAGACCATTGGTTTTTTTTTAAAAAAATTACATTTTGGGTTATGCTCATAGGACATATTCAATGTGTTTCAGCCTGGCTCACCTGCTTGCTCTGCTACCCCCCTTTGGAAGTAAAGTGAACTTGATTGTAAGATCCATCCTTCAGTCATC